AGGCTAGTATATCAAGAAATGAACACAATGAAACGTGTTATGCCGTGTTATATCACGGACATGCCAGTTTTTAAATAAGTGCTTCCGTAGGGAAGGAGCACCAGGGTGAGCAAGTTTTCTTTCTTTTTTTTTTGCAGAAAGTAATCATCCCAGCCACCCAGGTGCTAAAACAGCAATAAAACAGCCGCAGCACCCCGCACGCTGGGCCCGACCGTCTCCGGCGTCGGACGGCATGGCCATCGGTAAGAATCGAAAAAATCTCGGGTAGCGCTAGGCGCCTCGGATTTTGGACTATGACACTCCCTCCACACGACACAGGCTGTTTCCAACTCTATACCTACAACGCGAGAACAGCCTCTTCCAATGCCGCTCTCCATTAGCCCTTCGGTGCGGCCAGTCACATTAAATATCATGTGATGGCGCTGCAAGAAACTAAAAGCAGGAGGACCGACATACGACGAGCGAACGATGGAACCCTCATCATTCGTGGTGAAAAGCTTCCATCGTGAAACGTCGGCGGCGTTGGTTTCGTCGTGCCCCATCCGTCGTCCATTTCGTCAATTTTCGCGACGTTCTGTCTCCTTACTTCACCATCCTACGCCTACGACACACGCACCTGAAGGCCATCTCCACCGTCAACCGCTACTCTCCGCACTTTACAGCTGATAAAGTAGAGCTCGATGCGTTTTACGACCAACTTGAGGAAATCATCCACAACGAAAAGTCCTTCTACAAATTCGTTGGCGAAGCCCAAGAGGAGGAGTTCAGGATTTGAAAGTTCGGAATGGGGGACAGGAACGAGATCGGAAACCGACTAGCTGGACTCCTGTCCGCGGCTGACTCTTCCACGTCAAGTCTTTCTTCCAGAAGAAGGACTAACGCCGACGGAGATGGGAGTCTCCAGACGGCACAATTCATGCTTATCACATGACCACATACTAACAAACAGAAAATGGTGCTTACTAGATGTTGATGTGGTACAATCTTTCTACAGTGGTTTCAATCATTGACTTCTTCGCACTAAGATCAGATTCAGCCACAAGCTGGAAACGATCTCTCAACACTGCACGAAGGGCTCGAAGCATGTTGTATACGACGGAGTTGTTCTGAATGACGTCTTGTCCCGATATGACTGGCGAGTCTTGGATGACCCAACCGAAGACTACGACGCGCTGGTTCGGGGTTTCTCACTTGTGTTGAACAGGCCAAGCTTCCGCGAGTGGATACCTCCGCTCGCATTTGAAATGCGAGAGGAGGTATCCACTCGCAGGAGTTCTTGTTGCTAAGCTTAAGCTTCTTCTTGTTCTAAGGATTTTCTCAGAACAAGAAGAAGCCTGAGGCTTGACCAGAATGTCACACATCTTGAAAGGCTGCGAGCTAATATCAGCAGCAGACAAGCAGTGCGGCGAGAACTTCAGCTATACAAGGAGAGGAGACTACTGGAGGCAGCCTTGCACAGAACTAGTCTGAGAAAATGCCATCGGGATCTCAGGGACCACAGTATTCCGGTTTCGTGTAGGGTGTGAGACAAGGCGACACTGTTTCGCCGAAGCTATTCTTAGCCGCGCTGCAATGGGTTATGAAATCGCTCGACTGGGACGAAAAAGGCATTCGCGTGGACGGACGGTTCCTCTAAAATCTTCGCTTTGCGGACGACACTGTTCTGTTTTCAAGCAGCATTGCGAAAGCTGAGACTATGCTTGCTGAGCTCAATAAGGCAGGAAAGTTCATGAAGAATGGTTAGGCTGACGAAGGTCAGATTAAGATCGATGGTACACTCATCAAGGAGACCTCGTCATACGTTTATCTCGGGCGTTCCATGAATCTGGGCAACCACATGAGGGAAGAACTGGTGAGACAGTAGATAGCAGCGTGGGCTACCTTCGGACCTCTGAAAGAGGTCACCAACCATCTGGCAGACCCGGAAGGTCGCGCTAATCTGTTCGGTTCCACAATTCTTCCTGCGCTCTGTTACGGGTCGGAGACTTGGGTGACCAGTGCATCCACGTCAAGGGCTCTGAACACAAGTCACAGAACGCTCGAGCAATGTCTTTTGAGGTATAGCAGGCTCACTCAATATAGAGCCGGACTCCGCAGCTTCGATATGCACAGCACGTCGCGACTTCGTGATCCGGTGGAATACATGAAAAACGCAAAATTTCGGTGGGCCTATCATATAATGAGAAGGGATTATGACAGCTGGACACGAAGAACTGTCGAGTGGTTAGGATCTTCACGATCTAAGGGTAGGCCTGCTGCGAGATGGGGGATGTGCTTGTCGATCACGCGAAACAGCTGCGATAGCAGCTGAATGATTCCTCACGTCGCCATCTTCGTCGAATGCTGACAATCTACCGTGGGTGGCGATCGCGAAAGACAGAAGCGAATGGTTTGCTGCTGGTGCTCGCACATGAATGAAGACGAGCCGTATAAGTATTACCAGTTAGGCTACGCACGCTAACGCGTGCACCACGTGCCCACCATTATCAGATGTCGTTATCAGTGGACCTTATTTCCTCCACGGGTACATCACTAGTTGAGAATCCCAAACTATTGGCGGTCGGATGAGCTTTGACGTAAATGATATCAAAACATAAAGAACCTTGATCTTCTACCCAGTTACAAACCTGGGAAGCGGTCGTGATCTATATTATGGTCGTAATCATAAATACATCGTAAATACAACAAGAGTCAAATTCAGGTGATAAGGGCTCTTATCAGTCGTTATCAGCTGTTATCAGTTCCTATCACCGGTCGTCTACGATCTCGCCATACTCCACAACACATTCCAAACTGTCAAGGCTCCACTATTAACGCCATCATTATAGTGGCTCTACGCTTTGCAGGATTTTCATTAGCCCTTGTCAGTTTTATCGGCCACAGGGCTGGCACCAACCATTCTCTATCCCCTCACCGAGTACCACGATCCTGTTACATCTACATAACCTATTAAAATTCCAAGTTTCCATTATTAATAGAAAGTGCGTTACAGACCTAGTGGCTCTCGCCTTCTATGGTTTCTTATCAGACCCTATCACTTGCTATCATTCCCTGTCACCAATCATTTATGGTCCCTTCACATCCTACATCACCTACCAAAGTGTCAAGACGTCATCGTTAATACAAAGGGAAATATGGGTCCTGTGGCTTTTGCCTTTTAAGGCTCCTTTTCACTTCCTAACAATTGTTGTCACCTACCCCTACCATCAGTGTTCCCATCCTGATGTCTATCTCTCTTCCACATTTGAATGTTCTAGGTTCAATGGGACAGAAGTTATGAATTTCCGGTCAGACAAACACACACACATACTGACACACACACAAACACACCAACAGACACACTTAGCCGATTATATAAGTAGAATATAAGTAAGTATAAGTATAGCTGAATATCATTAGGCATTACTGTTTGCCTGTAATGCCTGATGATACTCAGAAAAGCGACCTAGCTCCGGAGCTGTGCAGAAGGAAACGCGCCGCGCGGGGAGCATTTAAGAATATCGAGGGAGCAGTGGAGAAGACAAAGAACATCCGGCTCCACGCTCACCTTTTCGACACTGCTGCCCTTCGTGCTTTAACGTAGACTATACGAAAGCAGGACGAGCATGCTGTCAGCGTTACTCAACGCGCTCTCTAAAGGACGATGCTCGGAGTTCTCCTGAACACGCAAGTTCAGAAGGGAATCCGGAGTTACGAGCTCCCTCAACGAACGAAGATCAGGGATGCCGTTGATTACGCAAAGAATTCAAAGATCAGGTGGGCCGGACACGTTATACACGGACCCTGTGCGATATAGTGATGACCGTTGAACCAGGGCGGTTAATGGCTGGATCCATCGGGACATCAAACTCCAGGACGGCTGCTAGCGAGACGGTCAGACTTCTCCACGAAAGCTCTGAACGAAGGAGTATTGAACCTCGTGTCCCTGAAGCGAGGACGACTCATTGGACCACTCTGCTCGTGACGGGATGAATGGAGACATTACTGGCGGTTTCTCGAGGAAATCGACGATCAACGGGACGACAGGTGATGATACAGCTGATCATCAGGCATCACATGAGATCAGTGATGGAAAACGGTACGCTACTTCGAGATAACGGAGACTCGTCATCTACGCATCAGCGAATAGCAGTATTCAGTGATAATCTTATGTGATAGCTAGTGATATCAGCTGTGGGCCGTAACTTCAAGCAATCCTGGGCACTGGCGTCGATAACAATTTTAGGGGATGGGGCACGGCGGTTGTGGTGAATCTCATTCCAAAAATCCTTTGTTGTGATCATTCCATCTTCCATCTTGGTTAGTACTTTGTTAGTGTTTTGCTCCATCGAATCTTAGCGGCTGAAAAACCAGACTTAATGACCTTCAATGGGCCACCCATTAAGAGCACAAGTCGCGATAACGAGGTACCACTTTGAAGTCAAGAAGCGAAATGTTGGTTGAGCGCAGTGCATGAGTGGCAAAGATAGCGAAGAAATTCGTCTACTCCGCAAGAAAAAAGGCTCTCTTAAAGTGGTGAACATAGATGTTGTACAAGATTACCATGACGAAAATTACATGGATGGGGCATTCGGACGAGATTCCAGTTGTTGCAATTACGCAGTGGATTCTGAATTTGCCCTGAATAAGAATATCTAAGAATGGTGCAGCCTCCACAATCCCGTTGAAACTCGTCCACGCGGCATACACACGGGACAATCATTTAACCTTTATAACGCCTTGTATAGGCCGTTTGCGACCTTACAGCGCCTCTAGAACTGATGAGGAATCTTGAAACTTTTTTGTCAATGTATATTCTTTTTTAAGACATGCTACAACGAGCAACAATGTTGTGCCGTATGGGCATCTCGTGGAGAATGTTCCAGAAACCCAACCTACATGAATCTATGGTGTAAGGCAAGTTGTGGTGTTTGCACACCAACAACATACGATCTGAGCACAGGTGAGATTGGTATATTTTGATGGTAGCGATTCTGTTCCGGTGAAGGTGGTGTAGGGCAAGTGGCGCAGTAACACACGCGCCTGGTCAGGGTGCGAATCCCGGATCGACATTCGTTAAGACCAACCAAGCCTCTCATAACTCTGGGGCACTGAATATGCCACTACGCTTCTAAATGGAAACCAAGTGCGGGGCGCTTCCCNCCCAGACGGGATTGGTCAACGCCCAAGAACACGTTTTCATTAACGTTCTCATTTCGTTTTCATTCCTATTAACGCTTACATTTTATTTGACCCGTTGACGACCGCGTGGCTCGCCGGTGGGTCACATCATATCGTGCCCCTGGGACCGCGTGGACAACAGTAGATGTCAAATTGTGGATGACTTATTATCATTCCCATAACATTTTTATAGAACTTCATATTAGGGGAACAATTTGCAAAAAATTGGATTGCTCCTGGGACCGCGTGGCCCGCCGGTGGGCCACAACAGCAGCCCGCGAGATTCGCGCTCGGTCATACACGCCAGACACACTTAAAAGGCGTGGTCGACAATAGGTCAAAGATTCTTCTGACATAAAGTGCACTTTCTTAATTAAAGCGAGCGGTCGCGTCGCGTCAAAAACCCTTGAACTTTTTTGAGGATTGAACTCCAAGTATTAATGATTATTATTTTTTAGAATGCTCGGATCGCAGTGCGAGATGTGCTGAATGGGCTCGAAGAGGCGAATGTCGCAGCAACCCGGCGTGGATGACGGAGAATTGTCGTCAATCCTGCAATGCATGCGGTACTACCCGGTCGCAAGCATGCGGAGGAAGTTTGTCTCAATTTTTTCAATTTTCTCAGCATTCCATATCGACTCGGAATCATGGTGAAAGCTGCAGCAAAAATATTCTCTCATTCTTCCAAACGAGCTTGGTACCAGCAAGCAGACCTTCGAAATCTTGAAAAGTTGAAGACGTGGGCGAATTTCGATCTACGGGCCCCTCATGAGGCAACAGCGCCCTCCGCTACTGCTTCACTTACTGCTTGTGCATCAATGAATTCAGTGATTTTTTTTTATCTGAAATTGTTTTTTGGGCACTTCATCATCATCAACAACAACGACCGCAACAACAACAACTACCACGATGTCTCAAGTCAATATGGGTACTACTTTCGGTAGCTATCCCGACCCTTACATCAATTTATTTTGTTCGGATTCAGGCTGCTTGAATCAGCATTTCTGTTGCATTGCTTGGGCAAGTCTTGGTTACTGCACCGCGCGAAATCAACAAGGTTACATGAGGCAGTATTGCCAGGCTATTTGTGGTGTCTGCAGAGGATCTGCAGGATCAACAACTTACAATACTCCGGGTAAATGATATTTTCTATAACTTAGGCCTACTAGAAGGATTAAGGCTAGCTCTAAGAGAACGCTTTGGTGTCATCTCCATGACAAACCTTCATTTTCAGCCTGTAATGACTTCAACTCCAGATGTTCTACATGGAGGGCTCAAAACCAATGTACCGCAAATCGCAACTATATGTGGGAAAATTGTCGCCAGTCCTGCCAGTAAGCACGTTTCCTAGCCATATTGGCGATAAACAATCTAGGACTGAAACAAAATAAAAGAGAATCGACAGTGGTAAATTTCGGATACGTGTGGCTTCCTAGGTGGGTAGGCTCGAAAATGTTTTCAAGCCTTTCGTTAGCTGTAAAACTTCAAAAGCTATTTTGGCAGTTTTACAAGAGTTCGCCGTTAGGTTGGAGTCCGAATTTTCATGAAGAGCGGCACAGTTACGTAGAAAATACTACTTGGTACTGTTTAGTGCTGCTTTGCCGTACAGGTTTGTTATGGCTGAACCGCTCTATTGGTCAACGTTTCGACTGAATCGTCGTCTTAAGGACCTGAAAATAGTTCGAAGCTCCTGATCTGTGACTTACCCGACCAAGCGCCCAAACGCGCTGGGCTAGTTGCAAGGACTCCCGGAAAATAAAGTACGGAAAAGTTTCAGCAAAAAGACCAACCTTCTGCGGTTCCACCAGCGTTACGTCCCACTCCATGTGAACAACAAGGGATCAATGAGTCACCATTGATGATCGTAAGATAAGAACTGTGCGGGTGATCTCAAAGTTCACAAAAGGGAATGAACGGCAAGAGTTCACTTGTTATGGTCAAGCACTCACTTCGGTTGTTTAGGCCTGGATTTTTCGTGCGAATATGCAACGCTTCCAGTATCTTTCTGGCACCGATCTCATTCTCGTAGGCTAGGATTTTACATTCGATGTCGAAATCGTTGCCTTGATGACCTTCTAGTCGGTGCCTCCCAAGTGGTGTTAGTAGACTTCCACGCCTTTTTCCTGCCAGATGCTCTTTGACACGTATGCCGAGCATCCTTCCCGTCCCACCAATATATATTTCGTCACAGACTGAACACCGAAGTTGGTAAACCGTCCCTCGCTGTGTGCAATCTCCGACTTTTCCAAACGGACAAATGACGCAGTTATCCGTAGAACATGGTCGTAAAGTCTACTGCGGATCAGTTGACGTTTGATATTGTCGCCTGGTAAGTTTATCAGGACAACATTATCGGCTAAATCCGCGCGTGCNTCTCGTTCCACTTCGCCTGTACAAACTCCCGTCGCTGTTTTGTACATATTACGAATAACTGCACATTTTACAGCTCCAGGGTGGGCAGACTTTGCGTGGAGTAAAATGTTCTTCGAGCTGTTTTTCCGATACCACTTCACATTATACCTTCCACTTGAAATGTTTATCTGCGTATTCAGATAAGGAAGCCAGCCTGCATGCGGAACTTCTCTCGTAAACTTGATGTACTTTGATTGTCGGTTAAGGATGTCAAATAATTCATCCATCTCGTGCTGCGTTGATGTAATTACGCAGCAGTCATCGATATACCGACAGTACAAAGTGGGCATGCGCGCTATAACTGGTCTTTCTATTCTGCTCATAAAACAGATAGCTAGAACCGGTGCTAGCCGCTGACCCATAGCAAGTCCTCGATTTTGGGAGAAGTATTGCCCGCTCCACTTGAAAATATTACAATTTAGGCATTCCTTAATAAGAGCCATAATGTGAACCTTGCTCAGTCCGAACGTCACCACTTCTGCTTCATGCTCATCCAGCATTTCAGAAACTGCTTGGAGAGCTTCGTTGTTGTTTACGTTCGTATAAAGCGCGGTTACATCGAACGACTCTATTACGCAGTTTTCTTGAAGCTTGCACGAACGCAAGCGGTCAAGAAATTCGTTGGTGTTAGGCAAATGAGAAGGTACGTATCGGAGGAGCTGACCAACAATTTTATTGAGGCGGTCCGTTGGTCCTCCCACACAGCTAATGATGGGTCTGATTTTGTAATCACTAGCATTTCGAGGTTTCACCTCCTTTGGACAACTTGTGAGTTTTGATCAGGCTATAGAAAAACGGACATGAGGGAGTGTCCAACTCACTACTTGGTACCATTCCCCCACCAGCAACCTACGGAAAATTGCGCGCTGAACAAATCGAACACTACCATCGATATCACCTCTGGTAATCTACTTATCATACATTTTGCAGAGCCTGTAGCATAGGAATGTTGTCGAATCGGCTATCGTCGTGCGGATTGTCTAGGCAGGAGACGCCGCGACGTCGGCTCGTTCCGCGGCTTCGGGTCAGCCCTACAACTTCGCGTCAATCAGTACGAATGCCGCTGCATTCACTCCAAACCCAACGAAACTTCAAAACGACTCTGCTTCCAGCGATGTACGTAGGCCTGAGTTTTCCTTCAGTTCCCGTAGACAAATGATAGGTTGCGTTTCAGATCACAACGCCGCAGACCTATTCACCCGGTGGCTCCCTATTCACCACGCGGTATAAGGACACTATCGATCCCACAACAGAAACAGCCGCCTCAGCGTCGTCGACCCTCCTTACCTCCAGTAAAGCTCCAATCATCCCCGCGGTCGAACTCATCGCCACTTCCACCACCTTCTAAACCAGGACACGTTCAATCTGCTCCAAGGAGCGTTGCTCCCAACAATCGACGGCTGGCTCGGTGCCTGTTTTGATTCCATTCTAATCAACTGAACCAATCGAGATTTCTTCCAGATTACAACTTCGTGAAACACCTCGGCCTTCTAGTGTATGGATTCCTCGACGGAAACATGCTCTACGAACAACTAATTCTTCTTTAGCATGAATCTGGGGACCAGCCTCTTCTGTGTTTTGAGGCAAAATCTACGCCACTGCGAAGTCGTCCTCTTGGTGTACAGGTCAACAACCTACCTCGCCTTTTTACGCTCTCGACTTGAACACTCAATATAATTTTTACTAAATCAAAGCATGCCATCGATTTCAACACGCCCTCAGTTGCTTTTTGATAACACAACGTTGCCGCGCGATGTATGTGAAAACCTAGCGTCCGAGTATCATAGCGGATAGAAACGTATGACAAGCACAGAAGAGCTGATGCAGTGCCTATAACGTTGAACAGAACGCGTATCTAGGGGAAGATTTTGCAGTATGAAAATTTTTCCCGCGCGCGGCATTGTGCTGCTCAGCAGTTAAAATCCTCCTGTTATTCCCGATCGCGTCCATTCTCACTGATCATTCTTCTGTTCTTACTACTCGTGGATTGGATACCATATCCTACTTTCGCCGCTTGTTGCCTACTTTCTGATTTTTCCTGTTTCTTGTATCTGCAGATCTGTAGCTCTGGAAAGGATACTGCTGTAGGTAAGCGAGTTCTTATTTAGGTCCTCCTCTTGAGCTTTACACCTGTTGTCATGAGCATATAGCGTCATGACCCTAGTGTGGTTTTGGAGACTGAGGCGAAATTTGCAACTAAATACTCCGCACTTTGAAAATATACTATGAGCGATTTCATTTCATTTTTCACAAGTAATATTAATAAAACAAAACCCTTCCTTAAATTATTGACACCTGATAATAATCTATTACTACTATCCTCCACCCTTTCTAAGCATGAAACAGTTACCTTGTGTCGATTTGTTTGCCTACCAGACTGTTTGCAGATTTGCCTGCCTATCTTCCCATCGTAAGAATTCCCATCATTATTATTGAGAAAAGTACATGGAATCCTTCTTCAGAGCGGGTAGCAACAATTAGGAGGAAGCTGGAAGTGTTAGTGATAGCACTAATGGTATTACAAAAGCCAACTTTGCCCTATTAGTTCCAACCAACTGGTAGCCGTTAGTATCGATTTGCGGGTAAATTGATCGGACTCGTGTCTTGGCTGTATTCCTTAGTAGAATAACCAAAATGACAAGGTATACATGCGAATGTTGGTACTTCAGCGCTATAGTTTCAGTGGCCGCATTCATACTAGGTGCAGTGTACGGCAGTTGAGTGCCGTGTACTGCACTCGACTGCCGTATACGGCACTCGACTGCAGTGTACGGCATTCTCGGTGCCGTGTACTGCACTCGACTGCCGTATACGGCACCAGTCGTACAAAATCTATCGATCGACAGCTCGCATTGATGACTCATCCTACGGGATGACTGTTTGAGATAATTGTGCTCCTTTTTCTCTTCGCTCGTAGCAGATTTTGTTGTAATTTTTGTTTTTCATTACGTCCCGTGCTTATTACCGATCTTCCGTGCGCGTAATGGTCGCTTGAGCTCATTATGTTTTCACTTATTTTTCTTACCCCTCTTATCTCAATAATTTGTTGTGGGAATTTTCCTATTTTATTTTTTCTATACTATTTTTTACTTCTATTTTTTCCTGCTTTATATCCTAGCTAGTACT